AGGTATAGACAATGGATCGATATTGAGTGGATATGGATCGAAGCAACAATATTTCAAAGCTTATTAAGAAAGAAACAGCGAAAAATCTAAAAGGGCTTTTAGTAAATGGTTCTATTTACCATTTAAAGTCAGTTTTTCAATTAGTTTTCTTGTCAGCAGATTTTGAAATCATCTTGTAGACTAAGGTAAAAAGTAATAATAACTCTGCAGATGGCAACTGTCAGGAGCATGTGCGAGTGAGAGAGAAAGCAAGAAAATATAAGCAAAGCCGGTAAAATTATGCCCCACATGAGTTTTGCATAACCCAATTAACAAGGTAGTTATCTTACAGTGGCAAGTAGCTCTAAGAAAAAACAAGGGCAACAGCTCCTTGTTTTGTCTTTTTTGTTGTTGTTGTTGTTTTCTTTTTTAGCGATCGTAGATCTCACACGATCTGGGCTAAAAGCCAGACTGTGAATATACCTCCTTCCACATGCTAATCAATTCAGAAACAACACTTGTGAAGCCAACGATATCTTAAAAAAATGATTTTTGCTCATCCGGACCAAGGTCTTTACCGTCACCATGACAATGAGAGTGAGTTGGTGAGAGACAGAGTGAGTTGCTCCTCACACATTGGATATTAGCTCCCCCATATTGAGCATGAGTCATCTATGGCAAGAAACAGTTGCAGCATCATTAGCAGGCTGCTCTCATCCTCCCACTGCCCCCACTCCTTAACGAATTTTAACTGGCTGTGAGCTCTCACTGATAAATCATTGTGTCCTGCTGCTGAAACACGCAATTCCAGCCCAAAATTATTAAGTCAAACACAGTCGTGCTGCTGCCAGTCTGTTTCCCGTTCAGTTTCCGACCATTTGTCTTGAGCAGTATTGCTATACACAGCATATGTAAAAATTGCACAACCATGAGACTAACGGGTCACAGCAAAGTTGGTTCCACACAGAAACAAACTTCCAGCAGTGGGTCCAAGGTGCATGTGTTAAAGATATTTATCTCTTTAAAAAGGTTCAAAATACATTATTGGAAGAAAGTTTACCATTTCTAAATACAAATGTTTGTTTTGTAAAAGTGATATTTTTTATCTGCCCAGTAGAATCGTCATTAAATTAAACCTGTGATAACTCAAAACTCTCTTTAAAAACACCAAATATTGCTAAACATGCATTAATTGTTCCTGAATTGGCTGTTTTTTAATTGCCATTTAATAGCGTGCTAAGACTTGGAGCTAATGTCAACAATACTTGTGTTACTCTTTAAAAAGTAAAAACACATATGACTCTATAAGGGCTTGACAACTACTTCTAAATTTAGCAGATGCTCATTATGTAGTGTTGTTTAATTATATGAATCAAAACCAAATCAATAAAAAGATAATCCAAACAACATCATTACAACCAATTACTGATGTTATACTGTTGTGTCAGTTTTCTGGTTTCAATTTAAAAAATTAGATAACATACTATTTTGTTTTAAAGTTTTGAGTAAAAACTGTTGATATTCACTCCGGGTCAACCTCGAAGCAGCTCATGCATATAGATGTCATGGCATTCAAATCTTGACCCAAATGTTGCATTAATCACAACTGTAGATTCTTAGATGCCTAAAAAAAATTCTAACAAAATATTTAGAAACTGTAGATAATATAACTTACACCATCGTCGAAACAGTATTGTATAGTTAAAAGTGGATAAATGTATCTTTCCTCACTCACCTGCACCGAATCCTCTGACTTGTCTGGCTCAGAGACTATAATCGTTTGAAGTTTATTTCAACCAATGTCTGGATCTTCTGTCATTACAAAGAGCTGCATTCCATGAATGTATGATGTGAGTCATGCCATTAAGCCCCATTTTGTTTTACACTGCATTGGTTATAGTGGTGACCAGCCGGCGGCCAAACCGTCCTCAAAGAACAATGTGCGACACGCCTCCTATTTCAGAACTGCTCAACCTCCTTTGTCTTTTTTGTAGTAGCACATCCACAGGGGCAATCCCACTTGGAGCAAGTTTTGCTCTTTCAGTACAAGTGAAAACTTCCTGGAGCTTTGTTACCAAACTCTTTCTCGTTTCATTAAATCAGCCTTAGGCGTTTTGTTCTGCCTGCAGCATGGCATTGGTCCTTGCCTGCTCCCCTCCTCCTCTTCATCCACTTCTGTTCTCTCTGATCAAAAGCTGCGGTGTTACAAATATTCTGACAATATCTCTGGCGCTTTCATGTAGAGAAATAGATTTTATTGAGGCAGAAGGTTAGCAGTTGCGCTACAAGTCATTGAAGGTAATAAACCCTCTGGCTTTGCCCCTGGAGATGAATCGTGGCAGTGTTTTCAACAAGAGGTTACGGTGTGTTTGGAGAGGTTCTGGACAGCAGTTTAACTCAGTCTAAGGCTCACAAAGGTGTGCTATAAATCTGTGGGACGTAGTTCAGATTGCTTGCATGTCAGCTTCGGGTGTGGAACGTATGGGAAAGTGAACCATAGAAGAGGCTGGATTGGTCGATTGAGCTGAAAATAGCAACACTTCTAGGGACATTACGTGAAAACTGTTACAGCTACAGCTAACAATTTGTCAGATGCTGTGCTGTCCAATCATCTGCCTCCTTTTCCAGGGTCATTTTCACCACACAGCCCCATTTCTCCCTTGTAACCAGAGTAAGCACATACGTTGGTATCAAACACTTGCATGCACGCACATTCACTCAAGCAACAGGAAAACTGAGTTGACGAGTGAGGTGTCAGCATCACTTTGTAGACAGCTTGATGACAATCCAGGCGGAGTCACACGTTTAAAGGTCACACACATATCAAGCACACACCCTTTTTCCTTCTCTAGCTATTTCTGTCGCATATACACACAGGCACACACCCACACTTTAATTAAAACCTGTAATCAAGCTGACTTCTGCATGTATTAACACTTCTCATAGACGTGAGAATGCCGTCATACAGCAGTAGCTATAAAGAAGGAAAGAGTTGTGAATACCAAAAAGAGAAAATTATTCACACCAACATGCCACTTAGCTCACAGAGTGAAACTTGTACTTGACTTTTCATTGTCTACACTTAGACATAGGGAAAGTGTAAAACACATATCCACAAAAAGACTTGACTGCATACACAAGAATAAAAGTTGAATTGCTTAATGTTTGAAAATAAGTTCAACAGCTCAAAAGGCTGATGAACACATTAATGACTCAAAGTAACGTCTACATTACTTGGGCAAAGACATTCTACATATTTGTACAAAAGAGTAGGTAATCATCATCTTTTATCAAATGCAAGATTTTATTAATGCTTTTACAGATTGTGGTGTGAAAATGTTTGTCCCCTTCCTGATTTCCTATCCTTTACATGTTTGTCACACTTCAATGCTTCAGAGCATCAAACCAAACCAAAAGATAACATACGTAAACACATATTTGATCAGGAACTTCAGTGTTGCTGACTCTGACTTCTGAAGGTCTGGCTAAGTTGTTCGCCTAGCGGTTGCATGCTAGTTAGTTTTGCTAGTGCATGGACAATGCCTTCATGAGAAGGAAAGCACCCAATTCATTGTCAACTAAATTAAAAGTAGTCCTAATCGATTAACTAGTAATGTCCACTTGGACCATCTTTAAGTGTTGTAGTGTGGGCACCTTTGGTTATCCTTACACTGAACCAGCTGAAAAAAAAAAGAGAAATGTCCTAAACAGATTTTAATGTGGGATGGAAAATGCTCTTTATGCAGTCCTGTTTTGAAATATAAACACTCCTAAAGTTTCATCTTATTAGCCCTAATTTAGCTGAGCTGCATGGCGAAGCTGCGTCAACTTCATAGGCAAAACTCAATGGTTTGTCAAAAAGACAAGAATGTGATTACAGAAAAGTGAAGCCTATTATACAGAAAAGTAGTAAGATGATGGGGGAATAAAAGGCATGATGAGAATAAGCAAGGATGAATTTGAGGGCTTTCATGAGTTAAGGTACTTGAAGCTTTAATATTTTGAGACATGAATTAAAATAAGCAAATAGGAAGACAAAGGCCAGTTTCATTTAAGAAAAATTGAAGGAGAAAATATTATCTCTGACATGCTAAGCATGAATTTATCAGGTGGTGGTCCAGTGTTGACTATACGCTTAACATAATCAACTCGCGGTGCCCTGCGTTTGACTTTGAGGATTCGAGCCCGGGAGTAGCAAACAGCAGTGAGACGGTTACAATGACGGACAGCGTTGTCAAAACAATTCTATCCCTCCCAAGGACACATCTCATTTAAGCTCAAGTGAACAGATAGTGTGCAGCCACTTTACATATATTTGGTAGTCCAAAGCTGCACCTGTCAAATAAGGTTAACCATCAGGGTTGCTATAGACAAGAAAAAGGGAAGAAAACGGATAAGCTCGATCTACTTTGCAAAGGATATGGCCTAAATTGCAGTGGCAGCTGTAAAGTGGGCCTGTGCTTGTATGCCAAGGAAATGAAAAGTGGGATCAAGGAAATCATCAAGCTCCAGAAAGCAGTATTGGTAAAGGTGTGTCAATGCCATTGTGCCCATCTGTAATTTTAAAAAGTGAGGCAAACACTAACCTCAGAGTGATGAATTGTATGCAAGATAATATTCAGGCATTCTATGTGAACCTAGATAGGAGAGCGACAGGAATATTTACTATTTGTTGAGGTAATTTGTTCTCCCTTGTAAACACATTTTGCATAATATCCATGAAAATGCTGTAGGATGTAAGATAAGGTAAAAGAGACACTGCTTTAGGAGTATAGATAAACCAGAATGCATCTCTCAGTCTGTACTTGGAGCTCGTTTTTCTCACTGAATTTCTATTCAGTAGTAAAAGCAAGTCAGCTGTGAAAGCTGTAGCATCCTCCAAGATTTTATTTCTATTTCTTTTTAAATCCCCCAAGATGATTACATACCTATTGCAAGAAACTTTATTATGGCTGCACAAAATGTGTCAAAGGCATATGAGAACTGAAATGATTGTGTTGCTTGTGAAGTCTTGGCCTTACTGTGTTTTGGCAGTCAGCATTGATGAGCTGCAACAGAAGGCTCTCAAACTTCTCCAGGGAAGGCTGGAGGGAAATGGTCAGTTTATCCAGGGTGAAGGGCGTCATCTTCAGCAGCTGAGGCCTCAGCAAAGCATCTCCTGAGAACAGAGAGAGTATGGCGTCAACATACACGCACACAAATGTACCCAATATTTACATGACTCTTTTCAATAACCTTCAAAACCCTTTGAGCGGAGAGGGGTTTCCTCTTTGAGGCGGATAAGGAGGGTAATACACCATCTTAGATGGTGTGATAATAATGAAGTCTAGCATGACAGAAATGTAACTCAATATAAATAAAGCAATGAATCACTTGTTTTTAGCCAATCTATACATTCATGAAAATTACATGTAATTTACCAAAATTAAATTCTAGCATTATGAATGACTGGAAGTATAAACATAATGTGACTGATTCTGACAAACAAGGTCACATAATTATTTTCTGAAGGTATGTGTATAATTTGTGTGCCAAGAAATCCTCTGTTGGAATATGATAATTGTTCAGCATGTTCATTATTGACCAGAGACTAATCAGGGGATGCTGTAAACAACAGTCATTAGTCTGGATATTGATACCGAGTGAGGAAGAGTTGTAGTTTAATCATTTCAGTATCAGTGCTTTAATAATAAAAATTTAACAAAAAGAGACCATATTATAATATTTTCTTTATTTAACTGATTTAAATGAAGTATTTCAGCCAATAGATGAAGTTTGAAAGTCTGACTTCCAGACACAACAAAAGCAGGCAAGTTTATTATATTTGGCTAAAGAGTAATGCCTCCATCCAGTGTTTCATTGCAGCCGCCGACTCTGAAGCACAAAGTCTACTTATTCTGAATGCTGTGTGAATATGAAGCTGGTGGCTGTGGTCTTAAAAGGCAGCTTAGGTCTCTGCTGCTCACAGCCCCAGAACATGAAGAGGATTAGTTTGCTACCATACCTCCCACTGACTCCCAATGATTATAGCTCTGCTCTGTCAGACTTCATTACGTTCCTCCTTAGAAACTTACTTTCTAAGTACTACAGACATTTCAACTTATGCTGGAACCAAGTTTCTAAAAAAAGACCACTGTGATGAATGTCTTGTATGTTATTGTGACAGCTGGAGGAAGATGAGTGTGCAGTTTTGTATGCAATAATTGATTACACTTGATGCACAAAATATGATAAATTAAGCCAAGTCATAAATGACTAGATTAAATTCAAAAGAACCTATTTAGTTAGTTTACTTCTTTGTTCATCAGTTTGGCTGAGGCCGCAAAGAGCAATGCTGCAAAATCTGTACTTCTGTAATTTTGGAATGAGAAGTTCATAAAAACACAAATATTACTCTTATTTTTGTTAAGAAAACAACTTGTGATCATAACTATGTTAATTAAGTGGTACAAATCCTATCAAAGCACAGGATTTGTGCTCCCACAGTAAGGTATTTGAAAAAATATCGTCTCAATACGTCTTTCAACAAAAGAAATAATTGTTCAACAAATGAACAAGTTATGAATGGCTATCAATAGTAAAAATCATTTAATAGACCAGAGTAAAGAATGTTTTAATAAATGTTCACTGTGTGATTATTCACGCAAGCAAAAAAATAAAAATAAAAAAAAAAATTAAAAAAAAGATAAAATACTATGTCAACTGTTTGGATAATGGTTGCTCTTGAATGTTGTGATATTATTCTTCTATTTAAATGTAATTACCCAGCCAGAATTCATCTGGTAATGCAGATCTGGGAAATCCAAACGTTAAAGCAAGACAGGAGTGTCCAACAGCAGCGGCATCCACAGGCATTTATAATGAGCACCAGACGAATCTGCTTGACTGATTTGTCCGACACCATAAGAAACTAAAGCAATGAAAGCCACCAGCAAATTTATTTGGTGAGGCCAAAAAATACTGGCATATTTTACAGGCTCAAAATAATAGATTTTTAGAGTATTTCTGGAAGCCCAGATAACATATTTTCTCATTGTGATACACAGATAATTTAATATTTCAGATGATGCAGGTAAAACACTGACAAAAAAACTACTACACTTTTCAACAAATTGAGCTGGTTGAAACATTTACAACAGTGAAAAACACATGCAAGCATAATGTGAAAACTGAAGGCCTTCCAGCAATGTTTCTCATTAACACTGTTTCAAAACCAAACCTGTCAACCCAATAACCACATGTAGGTTGAGCAACATAATGCATGTTGGTTGGCTGAATGCTAAACTAATTAGCCAGTATGTATCAGCTTATTATGCTTGTTTTTCTTCAAAAGGCCACAGAGAAAAGCAATGTATTGCACTGTTACAGTAGCAGTAGGAATAATAGGAGCTATAATAGGAGCTTTTCCAAATTCGAGAATAGATTCTGAGCAGAGTGCAAGTCTGAGCGCGAGGAAAAGTTTCAAGTACAAGCATTCCAAGTTTTGAGAAGACATAAAGTCCTGCATTCAGACTGAAAATGTGTGCTCTTAGATTATGGAAAAATTCCCACATACATTTCCTAAAACTCATTATTATGCCATCACAGTTTATCCTCCTAAACTGAAGCCTCATGTTTTACCAGATGCAAAAAGCTCACCTGTTGGAGAAGGAATGAGCCCAGGTATGTTGTCCTCTCCAGACACAAGAGCATGCTCAGGAAGCAGATGCACTGCAGAATTCAGTGAAGGATGTGTTTTCATCACACAGTCCAAATGTGCACCATCAATTACCTTCAGTAGGCTGCCATCTGCAAAAAGACAACAAAATGCATGATTTCATGAGAAGCAACCAAAACATTTTGCTGAATACAAACGAGTTCAATATGATATTTCAACCTGGCCATTAGCATCAGCCCATTCAAATAAAAGTTATCCATCTTTTCAGTGTCAGGTTCTAATATCCCCACCAGAAGCAAGGAAGTCACCTGGCAACATGGCGTCCAAAGTGCACCCAATTTTTCAATCTTTCATTTGGCTGTTTGTGACATAGTTGCAATGTTCCACTCCGCTGCAGGCATCATTTTCACAGACTAAAACTGAAATGACAGCCATTCAGCTCGAAACCCAAAGAACCGCTGTGGCATAGATGAGGCGCGAGACATGAGCAATGAGTTAGACATTGTCATCTTTCACGGAGGTCATTCAGAGACAAGTAGGAACCCATAACTCCTGTCATCAACACAAAGCACAGATTATTTGGAAGGTGAAAGTACTAGTGTTTGATACGCTGGCGTACGTTGGCTTCGATCAAGCCTGACCAGCATAACAATCTTTCACCGTGGCAGGGTTAATGACTGGACCTTGAACAGCCCTGGTTATGACAGACCAGGCTTCATTCACTCTCATGAGTGGCTCAAGTTGGTGCAGCGCAATCTGGTAGGGGAAACATTGTACATGCAGAAATGATGCTGCAACCTGAGATCACCATTTTGATTTCCAATCGTTTCGGAAACTTGGTTATTGCTTTATTTTTCTGTCAGCACTGCTGAAAAACTACCACTTCAACTGAACACTTTGAGACCCATTAATTTTGGCACATCCCATTCTTTCTATTATATGCAATTTCCCACTCCCTTTAGCTGCACTCCTCTGCAAACTAAATACACAGTTGATCAATAGAGTGGTAAACATTTACTGTCTAAAAGCACTATTGGACTAACAGATTGTTTGAAGAAAGCGTCTGTCGTAATTGAAAAGCTTACATCGAGAAAAACATCTGAAGAAGACCTGTATATGGGGACCATACAAACAGTTAATTGCAGCTTTACAGCATTTTGTTTAAGAACGACACATAGCACTGTCACTATGAACATCCACTAACATGATGAATGTCTGACATTCAAATAAGAACAAGCACTGCTGATTTGCAGAACCTTTCCTCCATATATAGTCTCCAGCATTCCACATCAAGCAACAAGACACATTTGAACATCACACAAATGCTGCTCAATTACCTCACAGTAAAGCATGTCAAACATCAGGAGGATGAAATCCAGGATTTAAGCTGTGATCAACATAAAATTACAGGAAGATCCAACAGAGGACATTGTGACTTTAGGCTTCTCCAATTTTGGACTTGGTGTAAAAATCTTGCATTCAATTTGCCAGAGAAAATTTCTGTTAGGCATTGTGATTCTTCTTCTACAATTGTACTTCAAAATCAACCATAATTATGTGTACTGAAGCGGCATAAACAATGCTACAGATATATTTACATTTATTAATGAGTTTTTTTAATTTATATTTTGTTGAACAACTGAATCACACATATCATTCAGAAATATGAAACTGTCCAAGGTTAAATTGATTAATCTTTTCTTTATAAACCTGCTCCTTTTTCAAATAACCAAACGGACTGAAAAATCATGAACACTTAATAGCTTATCAACAAAAAAAGAGGTTGGCAATACTTTGGCCATTTTGAGGACAAAGCAACTGCCTTGATATTTTAAGTCACTGTGGGGGAGACTGAGGGAGAAGGATGATGATGGACTGGATCCCTGCGTTCTCCTTCCCCCTGCTAGTGACTCATCTCTGTCAAAAAGCTTCGACTCTCTCTTGCAGTTCACTTACAACAAGAAAGGTGCTTACTTCTAAAAATGAAAATGGAAACCTCCATGGTTGCAGCACAGTTTAACCTCTTCTGCAAACACTTTGAGTCACAGAAGCAGCTCTTATTGAAAAGCCATATTTTACCATAACACAGCAAAGATGAATGAAGAAAAAAGAAAAAAAAAAGAAATAAAAAAAAAAGAAAAATCATAAAACTTTCTTGACACAGATGGAGCCCAGGTGTCAGATTCTTTTTCATCATTTATGTCTTGGTATTTATTATGCATCAGGCTCATGTTGCAGTCAGATGCTGTGCATATATTAGGAAACTATTCCAAAATATCCTTACAGCAGTACCAGTGGTGTGGTACCTCAGAGTTGGTTGAGCAGCTACTTGGCAAGAGATGAAAAAAAAGGGAACCTGAAAGGCTTGGGGGACAAAAATGCCTCAGAATGAGGATAAAAGAAATCGTAACTCTAGGAAAACACTAAAACGGAAGAAAAAGCATGTGAGCATGACATGAAGTAATATTTATATTCATCAGTTTCAGCTATATACATATATTTAAGGAACCTCAAGCTGTCCAAAAACATACCGATGCTTTTTTGCTGTTACGTCATTCAATACTTTTACCCGCTTCATGTTGAAGGGATGAGGAAATCGTACAACAGCACACAAGATGGAACTGCAGAGTCTAACAGTGCTCAAAAAACATATGAATAATCCACATCTGCACTGCAGAGAAAATTCATTCCATCCTGATCATTCACAGTTTTAAGATTTTCTACCAGGGAAGTATTTTAACTCCATCGGACCATGCCTCTCTGTATGTAAACGTTCAACAAAGATTTGTTAAAGTAAAGAAAGTAACAGCTTATGTTGATTTGCACCAGGAAACAAAAGTCACAGCAATGCGTCCTTTTCTATAAGCCATCTCTGTGTTTTTGCAATTCAGGTAAGATTAAGCATACATTAATATGAGCTTATTAGCATTAAAAGAAAAAAAAAGTATACCAGAGCTTTTCCTGAAGGAAATACATTTATTCACTGTAAACTCAACCTTAAGATGGCTTTCATCTCAAATCACACTAAACTCCATTCTGATATCATTCAAACTGTGATAAAACAAATTATTCCCAATGTAAATCATTTTGATAAACATTTTCTTCAATACTATTTGTGTTGGATTTATGCACAAAACTGTTTTCTTTTTATTTAAAATCACCAATGATTAATAATTAAATATTAAATTACATGTTTTATGTTGGCAACAAATATATACTGTGTGGCTAAAGCAAAACAGATCATACTTATTAACAGAATCAAAAACAAAAACTATAGCTGTTCAGGCCGTACAAGTAAAAGATCCCTTTGAAGTTCACTGAAGAAGTAGAAAGTTTTGTGCAGGTGATGAAGAGAAATGTATGGCTTCTTTAACATGGTTTTTATTCAAAGTGTTTCTTCATCTTTATTACAAGGAAGCATTTCTGTTCACTAGAAACAAAACATGTCACAGCACTCTTTTCTTCCTCTACACACAAAGTGAATGATATGGCACAAGATAAAGATATGCTAATGTGAACACAAACTACCATCTGTTTAAAATATTAAGAGGTCTCCAGAGTTGCCCCCCTTCCTTCTGATTTAGTCTTTTTTCTGTTCCTTTCCTCCCAGTTGGTAAGAAGAGAAACTCAGATCAAACCAATGCGTTTATGCCTCCTTTTGCACTTTCTTCTCCTTCCTGTTTTTGCATCCGTGGATGCAATAAACTTTATGCAACTTCTTTTCTGTTGTCCTCCCTCCTTTTCTGTCTGAAGACCTGGACAGAATTTTGATTTGTCTGCCAGGATTAGTCTATCTTTATACTTAAGCTTCTTTATCTGTCAGCATCAACACAAACAGCCAGTTCTCCCTGCGTTTATGATAAGTTGATGTATTTCAGCTCAATCCTTTGGCACAGATAGAATTATCTAAAGTAATAACATTTAAGAAACAATAATAATTACATTTTGACTCACTACTGAGAATTTGGACATTTTATCATTTTGTGTTTCTGCTCTTACCCCGTCTATGAAAGGGAATATTTTCAAGAGATAAGTGTGCTTTAGAATCAGTGTGTTGTCAGCATTTCTATGTTTATGCCATTAGTTTCCAATCGAGTTCTGTGACATTGTTTTTACTTTGTGAATTCATTCAGCACAACCTGATTTTAAAACATTTTACATTGTCACTTTGCGCACACACCATGCACTCACTGAGATCAATTACTTTCCCTTAGTTTCACAGTGAGAAAAAAAAACATGAACATTTTCTTATGCAAAAGTTATAACACTGCCTTCCAGGAGGCAAAACATTCTCCTTTTTGACCTTTTCTTTCTGTCTGATTTGCTGAATGTTGTGGCACTTTCTTGTGTGCTGTAAACACAAACGCTACATTTTACCGCAGTCAGTGGATAAATGCCGACCAACCAGAGATCTCCTGTGGACAGACTAATACAGCTGACCTTGTAAAGAAAACAAGCACCAAAATTTAAAGAGTAAGACACATGTTTCATTTCTATTTCTCAACAACAAAGCTTCCTACAAACAGTGCCTTGCAAAAGTACTCACATCCCTTACACTGTTCAAGGGATATGAACAATTGTTCATTTAATAAGTAATCTCGTATTATCTTCAGATAAAAGCCACTGCAAATTTATGAAGCAAACTGCTCTGATAATTTTATTATGGAAGTACCTTTGAAAAAAAGCGCTTCAAAACAAGTCTTCTGAGATAAATTGAAATATTTAATTTTTTATTTCACTATAAAACAAAAATATCAATAAGAAACAAGGACGAGAACATCAACCGACTGAAAATTAGAATTTCTCATCAAGGAACATCAAGCTAACAGTGTTAGACATGCATGTGTTGCCTTAAGGTCATAGAGCAGACCCAAGAGTCATGATGGCTTATTACTTAATGATGAAATTAGATGCAACACAAAAGCTACTGGGCTTTTTTTTTCCAAAATGTTCATCTCATTGGAAAAAAAAGAAAAGAAAATGTGTCTTGTTGTGATTAAATCATAATCTTCAAAGGGGTGTTTTTAATGTTATTTACATAACATGATGAAACAAGCATGGTTTTCTCTAAATTATACAAACAACTAAAAACATTTGAAAAACCATTGAAGGTATAATTGCAAGCTCAACCTTTTGTGGCTTCTACATAACGATCCTGATCCTTTAGATTGAGCAGGTATAACAAGTAATTTGAAATTTATACACCATGTTCCAAATTATTATAAAAATTGGATTTAAGTGTCATAAAGATTAAATTTTTTGTTGTGCTATTAAATTTATGGATGATATTGTGTGATGGGTTTGTACAGATAAAGGCATAAAGAGGAAGGGTCTGTTAGACAAATTCATGGGATTAAGAGAGCAGCTGTTAAAATGCCCTTACAAAGCAGCAAAACTGCTGGTGCCTCCAGAACCTGGAGGTGGAGGATCCTCCAGAGGCTTGCAGTGCATGAACCTGCACAAGCAGAATCGGTGGCAGTGATCCCAGCAGTACGTGAAGATTCATTTTCAAACAGACTTGTTCACTGATGACTGCTGTGCAACCCTGGATGGTCCAGATGGACGCAGTAGTGTATTGGTGGTGGATGACCATCACGTCCCAACATGGCTGTGACGTCAGCAAGGAGGTGGTGGAGTCATGCTTTGGGCTGAAATCATGAAGAGAGAGAGAGAGAGAGAGAGAGAGAGAGAGAGAGAGAGAGAGAGAGAGAGAGAGAGCTGCTCTGTCCCTTCGGAGTCCCTGAAGGTGTGAAAATGACCTCAGCAAAGTATATGGACTTTCTGACTGATCACTTTCTGTCATGGTTCAAAAAGAAGAGCTGTACCTTCAGTAGCAAAATCATCTTCATGCATGACAATGCACCATCTCATGCTGCAAGGAATACCACTGTGTCATTGGCTGCTATGGGCATAAAAGGGGAGAAACTCATGGTGTGGTCACCATCCTATCCTTCTCTGACCTCTAGCTTTTAATTTTAGTACATGTGACCACTTAATAATGCACATTCAAAGAATGACCATTTGCAGTTCTTTATAATCCATAAAATGCTTAGAAAATTGCTGTGCATTTTGAGTTTATTTTTGAAAAAAATATTGTTCTGATGGGGAGCTTTGTTCAGTCAAAGTTGATTTATACTGTAATATATGGAAGTAAATACTGACTATCATTTGCATTGACCATTTAAGAAAATCTGACAAAATATCACTTGCATAATAATTTGGAACACGGTGTAGAAAAAGCAAGACATATTTCTTTTAACAAAAACTTTTTTTACAGGTATTTTCTGGGTGCTTTTAGGGGAAATTGTCTGAAAGTATTGTTGGGACTAAAACAGAAAAGTAGCCTCATACATAATCTACTTTTCAGCAACAGTAAGTAAGCCTCTTACTCTTATTATTGCAAATTATATTAGTGTTGTTTATATTTTGTGTAAGAGATGGGCTGACTTCCACTGTGAAAGGCAAAAAAGGATTCTTATTTCTGAGTTGAAGTTCACTGCCTGGCCAAAGAAAAGTTGCCTCTAAAGGCAAAAAGGCTTCACACTCGCCTTTAACTTTGATGAGAGCACTTATCTGCTGTGGCATTGTTTCGATAAGCTTATGCAATGTCAAAGGATTTATTTCCATCCAGTGTTGCATAAATTTTTCACCAAGATCTTGTATTGATGATGGGAGAGTCCAACCACTGAGCAAAGCCTTCTCCAGAACATCATATAGAATCTAAATGGGCTTAAGATCAGAACTCTGTTGCGGCTAATCCATGTGTGAAAATAATGTCTTGTGCTAGAGTCCAGGCTTTATGCTTTCCTGCAAACTAATCAATTAGCCTCACTGATTACTGGTTTTCTCATGGCTACAGTTCGAATCACTTGAATTCCCTCCACACTGTGTGTAGAAAAATCCTTTCACTTTCAATATTAAACAATTCTACTTTTGTTTGTCTTTGATTTGGTGTCACCAAAAGTTTTAAGTGATCACTGGGTTTTGTTTTGTTTTTCCTCAAAGACAATGGATTCCAATATAATGCATAATAATACATTGGACAGTTCTCAACTCAATTTTATTAGTTCCTGCAAACTTCTTTGAAAGGAGCTAAAAGACTTTTCCAATTGATAAACCAGGACCAGTGCTTTCTGCAAATCATGGAGGAAGACTGTGAGGTGCTATGCCAATAGCAGTAACCTTGATGAGAATCTCAGACTTAGTCACGCTACAGAATATGGTGACGACAGGAGGCTGCCATCTGAAGAGGAAAGGAAAGGTGCCATATGGGCGACACAAACTTCAATCAGTTAGTGCTTTGGCAGAGATACTGGCATCAGTGTTTTATGTCACTGGAGTTTTCTTCCAGTAAAACATGTTTTGTCATAATTTCCTGACTGCCGACAAAACATATCTCAAAAATAAGTATTGTAGTCATAAGTGATTTTTTTAAACAAAATATTTTGAGATTTTCCACTTTAGACATACAATCATGTATCTATCGCTTTGTAGTTGTTACATGATGGTAATTATTCAGAAATGATTTTAATCCAAATTTAAGCAATAAAACAAAAAATATGTTTTAGAAACCATGAAGCTACATAATCAAAATGTAAAGTTATGAATCAGTTCACCTTATGAGTTGCACATATGAATAGGTTGAGGTTTATCATTAAAAATTCAACCATGTGTCAGGAATTATAAATATTAAGAGTGGACTTAAAGCTGATTAATCGGTGTGCAACTCATTGTTGAAATCCATGTGAAAGGTGCAGAAATTTAATAAACTGAGGAAATTCTATGAATAGCTGTCAGGAACAAGGAAATAGCATTAGGGATATTTGTTTGTTCCATGCAACTATAAACTATATAAAGTTAACTCTGCTTTTTCATTCTGTCAAATGTCCATGAACTCGTCCGGATGGGGTTTTAGAATGAGATTTATTTTTGTCTGTCGATGACTTCAAATATTTAAAATGAAGTCAGAGAGAAGGTCTCATTAAAAGTAATGAGCGTTATTCTGAATGCAAGTGAATGAAGAATGCTGTAAAACTACAATACTCTCTGTAAAAAATAATGTCTTGACCAATGGGTTTTCATACAGACAACGTGACAGACTCCAGCAGTATAATGATTATGCTGAATGCTTGAAATTGAACTATGGTAGGAGATGGATGACAATTTATGTTTATAATTGCGTCACTTTTATTAAATTCAACTTTTAACCTCGACTGTATCTGCAGCATTAACAATGTCCTTTTCCTTCTTGCATAATGTTGAACTTATTACAAACTAAGTAAATAAAACGTCTGACCCCAAGGGATTTTTTTCCCTTCAAAATTCTTTCACACAATCAGGAAGGAAATTACCACCGTAACGATGGCGCTTATTCACTTTAACATTATGCAGTCTTTAAACATAAGACACACACCCGAGTATTTCACAGTGAAAAGATAAAAAGCATGTACCCTTGCCACAGTGGATGAAAGTTAAAGTGATAAAAAGGGGTTTGAACCATATAAAAGGTAAACAAGAATGCCAGCAACATGACTCGTAAACAGAGAAGCAGCATTCCACTAAACAACAGGCTGACATTGAATAATTCAGAGAGCATAAGAGTCCGTTTGAGAGCAAGCTTTCTAATATTCATGTGACATGATAGCCAAGACAGGAACTCTGGCTCTCACTGGGCAAGATGTTCTTCACACGGTAAGGCACAGCAGTGTTTTGTAATTCATAGCCCTGGTTTTAAGCCAACCATAGACATATCAAAACCAACCATGAGCCTCAGCAGTAGCGAAGTAGTTTTAAAAAATATATCAAAATTTAAATTAAGCTGAATCAGATTTTCAAGGATAAAAGAAAATCACCTCTCATCCAAAGGTCTGACAATAACTTTCCAATTCTGGATGAGGCAGGCTGCGAGCACTTCTCTAAGCCTAGTACAGCTAAAAATGGTGGATCAAGAGGCATAAGCATTTAAAAGTCGATTTAAAGTAAGCGATTTTTATTTACTGTCCTAAACATTTGATATCTTGACTTTGAATCATATCACATGTCTAAAGATCATGTGGATGTGTCTTTTTCCACCTCAGAAAACAAAGGAACAAAGGCATCTATTAACACCTTAGAAATAGATGCATGTATTACTGCATGTATTACTCTACAAAAATGGTGGACAAATTATTCTTACAGTCAACTGAGTCCTTCAGCGAGGGGTGGAGGAGGCCTCGTGGTGATCCGCGGTGTAGATTCAGCCTATAAAATAAAGTGGAAAAGATCTTAAAAGCAGGCCTGCAAGCCATAGTAGATCTGACAAGCTTAATTTAGCACTTGACCCGTTTTTAAGGGCATTGCACTGGTTGCATCATTAGGAAAGCTGAAAATCAAAGTATTACATTTGCCAGTAATCAGATAGGTTGCGCTTCTTATGTCTTAGTCTGCCTGCTTTCAGCCAGAAACAGTTACTGTTGAGGTAGTACTCCGCTTAATTAAGATGCCTTGCTAAAAAGACACCCTTCCACCTTCTTGGAATCCAACCGGACTGCAGTTACTGAGATGTTCCTCAAAACCTGCTATCATGCAGAAGGTAGAAATCAGTTTTACATGCTGCAATGCAAAGGTAATTTAGGTTGCAGTATAGATTGCGGCGAGATAGCTGCTTTCACCAACTGCCATCTGACAGGGGGTATTTGGGGTCAGTTCATCTATTGGAGAGGCTGACTGAAGAGTCAGCAGAATGACAGGAAGGACTAAAAAAAGCAGAAACCTATCAAATACTGTTATAAACAAAAGCCAACATGGAAAATGACAGCAAGACAATGAAAATCATGTAAAAAGCTTAAAGTAGGACATAAGGCTTATTGCTTCCTTTCAAAACTTCTAGGAGAAAAATAAATCAGGGTGAATTCTGGTTCTCCAACAAGATACTAATCATTTTTGTGGTCACAATTTTTCACACTATTAACGGTTGTAACTATCACCAACAAAGATGATACACAATATTAGGTTTACAAGAACAAGATCGATTTTTTTAGGAAAACTAAGAGTTGCCTCTGTGATTCTTCATGGCCTACCACTTCATGGCTAAGTCTCTCTTGTTCCTAATTGCTTCTATTTTGTTAGAACAGCCCAATGTGGAATATTTTGTCGTGAGAAAATTAAATGACTGGACCAATTTCACAGGTGACATCCTACCAAAGTACCAAACTAGATTTCCCTGAGCTCCTGAGAGTATAACCCATGCTTTCAGTGATTTGTAGAAGCAGTCTGTGCAGAAAGTCTAAGTGCTTGATTTTATTCACCAGTTGCTATGGAAGGTATAAGAATACCTGAATTAACTTATTTTAATAAAATTAATTCATTTTAATTGGTAAAAGTATGACTGTTTCCCTACTTTCCATAATCTGAATTGGTCCCAATGGCAAAGAACATAAAAATATATATTTTTCTGTTTTTTAAAGTAGAGCCATCTACATCTAGCTTTAGTCTAAGGATTTTAGATTGTGAGCTAATTATCAAAAGAAGTTCACATTCATTAAAACATATGCCTTTAGTTCAGCACCAATTAAAACTCTAAAGGGGAACCCACAATGAGATGCAGTTGCTCTCATTAATTGACGTGGTGAATTGGAACAGATTAATACTGGACTTCAGTCACAGATATCTGAATGGAAGAGGTTCTAAACCTCTCCAGTGTCTTGCAGCGATGCCTTGCAGCATCAGTCACTAACCAGATGCTGAATAGAAAATTATATAGCAGCAATCTTTGCAGCCATTAATAATCATATTTCTGAAGAGATTACAGTTGCTCATAACAGGTGACTTTTTTCCATTGTTTTCTACCAGTTAACAAAAATGCAATCATATAAATTATTTAAAAGTGCAGAGGGAACCTTACATATGCTTTTAAAATCCATTTTGTCAGCCAAAACAGGACACCAAAGCTCAAAGCATTCGTTTATATTCATAACTCATAATAATAGCTTCATCTTACCATATGACGTTCCATCCTGTTGGCAGCAACGTGGCACTTTCGGAGACAGGCTTCAGTTTAACGTCATGTTTTAATATTGTGAGTCTATAACCTTTTCAATATTAAATGTGTCTGTTATCATGCCAGCTACATTTAATTAAAGTGTCCAACACCAGAGCAGACTGAGGTGGCTTTAAACCCCACACCGATTATAGCATTTCTTCCGTGGATGCTGTAAAAAAACTCAAATATTAGAACTATTTTTTACAATAAATAAAAACATGTACATTACAGGACCAAACAACCTGGCTGAATAGAAAGCATCAACCGCCTGCATTATAAATACACCTGTCCTTTATGTCCTATTGAGAAGGCTCATTAATCCATGTATGTGGTAATTAAGAGTTCAATAATCACCTTCTGTCTCCATTAGTACCTAGACCCTCTGGTCTGTTGGTAGAAAGCTCCAGAATGCAGAAGCCTCTCCCCAGAGAGAGACAGGAGCCGTCTGGTTTGGTTGACAGCGACACCAGCTCCACAACGACCAGAGTGCTGGGCAACAGCAAGGACGTATGCAGGTACAAAACCTGAGAAATAAACACATGGAACACCAAAAGAAATGATCTGACTTACAGTGTTTAGTCGTTCAGAATGCTTTGAGATTAATTTCCCATATCTTAAAGACAAAAGCCATACATTTGCAGTAAATATTAAAGTTTTTAAAATGAAAGGCAATAGACATACAGTATTGAAGGTAAAATATTCACCAACATTGTAAAGTAAGAATTTAGTAAGTAAAAATACTTTTTCTGAGATTGTAAATTCATTTGGGACAAAAAGTGACGAGTCCTCCAAGACTTTAAGGTTCATATACATGGTTTCCATTTCACTTTGCAGTTCTGCTTTGCAGTTTAGTTTTCACCTTTTACAGTTCATGTTTTCTTTAATTTGTACAAAGGCTCAAATGTGCTGTCATACAAAAGAGCTTGTCTCTTAGGTATTTTTACTTTTTTGTCATTCCTGTTCACAACACTTAAAAAAAAAAAAAAAAAACTCCTGGACTGAGAATAACCAACATTAAAGAATTTCAAGTATATTTATGACCTAGTTTTCCAGCAAATAAATATTCCAATTACCGCACAGGTTCTCTCCTTTTTAAAACTCACACATTCTGCATTGGAGCCAGCTCATTAACACCTTTAGTTGTCCATCATAATACATCTTTAGCCATGTGTTTGTGATAGAGAACAATGGGATGGAAAAGGTTTGGTCTGGAAGGCCACATATGTTGTGTTAAAATATTAATGTCCTTATCTACATTATTTCTGCCATCACAGAAGGGAGGACTGTGTTAGCTAAGGGCACTAATACACAATCCCATGATTTTATATGTGAGCAGGGTATATTGCATCCTTGCAATAAAGAAAACAAATTATGATCTGGCAAATAAGAATAAAGGAAAAGAATGCAGACACACATAGAAACTTTTTGTTTTAAGCCTGAATGGGATTGAGTACACTGATGAAAGAAGCATGATGAAGACGACATGTAAAATAATAATGACCAATAACGGCATGTTGAAAATCACATCAGGGAATGACCTATAAACAAGGACAGATGGTGCACTGTCCCAGGGTACGTTGTTTGGCTGGAAGCATCAACTGTTGCTGTCACTCGAGCAGTTCAGGGACATTCAAAATAAAAAATATAACACCAGTGTAGCATTTGCAACGCAATTCCTAACATCCCAAGGACACTGCAGATTCACAATAGAATAACCTGAAAGCTGTTGTGACAAAACTGTAAGGAATTTAATTTGAGATGTGCAAAAAAACAAAAACAAAAAAATTACCAACCTTGCTGGATCGATTTATCTCCATTTTAGTCATGTACCTTGCTACTTAATAAAGAATATCCTTATCTTAGAAAGATGAATGAGCTAACTTTATTACAGCTGTTGCACTCTTGAGTTTTGATGTTTGGGACAAATCAGTATGATTTTTTATGTCATCCTAAAGGAACAGAAATCAAAATCTTTCTTTCAGGATGTGGATGAGTTGCATTGACCTGCTATTTCTGTACAAGCTCAGAGATGGTAGTACCTTTTGGGAGCCTTTTTGTTGTCTGCGCAAGGTAGATGCAATTGTATACAGGCTCTGATGTGCTCAAATTGGAAATAATAGCCTTCCTGTGCCACAGCCACCCTGTTTTACACAGCACAAAGGCCTGAATAGCATAAGGAGACCTATAAATTCTCTCTGATCCACTGGTTGCGGGGAACAACTCGTGTTATTTTTCTAAATCACCAACAATAACATGATGCCATTGTCAGAAAATAAGTTGATCTGAGCTGCTCTGAAATAAATTCTGTAACTTCAGATGCAAAAAGGTTCATTTAACCCACATGTAAAATAACACAGACTGCAGGAGTTGTTTTTTTTATTTCTATTTTTTTTTTTTTGTTTTTCTTTTATAGACATCATCTAGTAAGACTAGTCTGACCTTGAATGGGTTCCATCAGTAAATATACTTTCTCAGTATAAAATTATGGCCTCCAGCCTGTTTGGACACAGCAGAAAGGGTAAAAACAGTCTTATGCCCAACATTGCGCTCTTATATTCTTGGCACTGCTTAGAAAAGTATAATTTTGTTATGGTACTCATTGACTCCACCTCACATTCAGTTCAGTCACAGTGTTCAAATGCTGCTATTGCAGAAAGATTGGAGATTTGCATCTTATCTGACTGAGCTACATAAGTCACTAAATGAAGCATCAAGCCTTCTCCTCAAACCATTTCATCATAAAAAAACGGTGGGAAGTGTTCAGCCAAGTGTCAGCTTTCCATCAATGCAGGCTGAAGCTGATAAACTGCTCCAATCAATGCAGAGACATTTGACTTGGTAATGAAAGCAGATTGTCGGAGGACAAAAGCCAAATGTTTGAAGGTCTTAGGGGGTATTTAGAATACGTTGAAAAAGGCTCGTAAACAACTCCTTTGTCTTCTCATTGTTGGAAGCTAAAAAGACAATATCTGGCTAAATTTAAGGAACAATGGAACATTGCAGTCATTGATCTGTTTTATTAAAAAGAAAAAAAAATCAAGTTTTTTATAATACGGAAAATTTATGAATACAATCGAAGAGATATGTAATAACGTCAATGTTTGTATAGGAGCAATAAACTAAAATGAAAGTGACAAAGGATTTCTCTTCTTTTCTCTAAAGAATGAGCTCCCTTCACTGTCCCACTACATCTTTTACGAATACACAGGACTGGATTCAAACGGGGAAGAACGGGACATTTCCCAGTGGGCTGGTCTGATGCTTGGGCCACAAAGGCCGTTTTCCCTCTTTTTTTGCATGCATTTCTTTCGAGCTGGTGTGCAGTCATCATGTACGATCATGTACGCTTCTCCCGCTGTCCCTGTATGTATGTCCTCCTCTGCTGGCAGCTTTCGGATATTTTGGAGAACTGGCACCTTGACATTTACTCGGCCAGTTGTGTTTAGAAGATGGAAAGTGGAAAGAGCAAGGGTGGCCTGGAGAAGGCTAGAATTAAAAACAGGAAAAGCCTGGAAACAGATGCAGTTCAATTTACAGAAAATGTTCACAAAAAGAAGCTCATGGTCAGTAAAGTAAAATAAAAATGATGAAACGATTAAAGCAAGTTGTACTTTGCTTTCAGGTTAATGATTTGTGTGGCATATAACATAATGCTGCATATTTTAAATATTTGTATAATATAACACCACATAACTGGTGAACTTTGTCTCATCGCTCTTCAGTCCAGAGAAAGCTAGAACACCAAGAACCAGCCACGAAAGTTCAGCCTGGACAGAAAGGATTACTCATTCAGTGAATATGCTCTGAATTAACATAATCAAGACTACAGGATAGAATTGCTTTATATGAAAAGTTCCTTTTGATGCTAAATGATTCAGCTCATTACAGCTGACCTGAACTGATCAGACTACTCTGTAAAAATGAAAGATTTGTGCTGAGAATTATGGCCATTCTTAAAATTTGATTTAGTGTCAGAGGCAGAGCCAGGACCTGAGAAAGAAATTCTCATAACCAGTTCTGCTCAGGCATATATTGCAGTTTTAAGGTTGACCATATTTCTCTAAAACTACTCTTTTGCAGAGGGGGAAAACACACAAAAGGGTCACTGGGAAGTTATGCTATACCTTAAATAAACTTTCAGCAAACAGTGGATTTTTTTTTGTTCTTTAATGATGAGGATTAAATTTCTGTTAACACTAATTTGCTTGAGATTCTAGATTTCAGAAAAAGAAATTATGATATGATGACTAGTGTGACAAATGTTTCCTTTCAGTGGAAAAAGAGATGGATGTTACAAAGTTCAACACCATTTTTTTATTTAATTAATCGTCAAAATAATTAATAGAATAATCCTTTACTAAAATAAGTATTAGTTACAGACCTAATGAAAGAAACAGAAAGGGAAAAAAAACAAAAAGAAGGCTGCACACTTATTAAAAATAGCATATTTTAACAATCACCAAAAACATCAGTTGGTCTTTTATAACTGTTCACCGTTTCTTAAGAGCCATTGTGAAAAGTCTAAAGAGATATTGCTCTAAAGCATCAATTTTGACCATCAACTAACCCGTTTCCAGGTCAGGAACAGAGTGTTAGTTTCTCTTGGCACATTTGGGACAGTTCTGGTTGGACATGCAGGCCAAAGGTAATATTTTGTCTTATTTAGGATGCAGATTTTGGCACCTCCTTGCCTTCTTTCTGGATAACTGCTCTCCATGCTAAGCCTATCAGTTATGGTGGACGACCATGTCTTGTTAGATTTGCAATGGTGATATGTTCTTTCCATGTTCATATTATGGATTGGAGTATAAAAAGTATCATCCATGTGTTTCTTGTGTATCCTGCTGTGTTTTTGGGCCTTCATGATGACCTCGCAGGGCTTCACAAAACAGATGGGGTTTTACGACAATTAAATTGCACATAATTTGCCTCCAAGTATCTTTTAGAAGCATTCTGAAAGCAGTTGGTTGCATTTTAAGTCATTTAGAAATCAGACTGAAAAAGGTTGACAAAGTGTGCATGAAGCGCTACAGTTTTATTTGTGAACAATTTTGAAAACCACACATCATTGACCTTCCTCTTTACAACTATAAGTTACTTCTGTTGGTTGATCACATAAATTTCCATTCAAATACACTGAAGTTTATAGTTGTAATGTACCACTATAAACTGTGAAAGAGCACAATCAACACTTTTGCAAAGCACTGTGAAGGACAGCTTTCCCTGACTTAAATGTTCATACATTTTGCAATGATCCAAATTAAAAAGACTTTTCATGTTTTATGCACAATTAAGCAACTGGTCTATTTTTTTTTCATAAACATGCAATACTATTAAGGGGTAAAATTTGGCAATAGTTATGCAATTAATTGGGTTTTTGTCCCACATAATAAGGTGATTTTTAAGGGAATAGGAGAACAGGTTGTTCTATTTTGCACTCAATTGCACCTCTAGGTTTGTACTAAACACAGAAGACAGTTTGTTTCTGCAAAGCTCCATATTCATGACGTTTCCCCAACCAAAA